GACAAGTGGGACTGGGGGTCTAGCAACGACGGCAGCGTAATTGATTGATTTGATTGATTTGTGGGGTTTAACGTCCCAAAACCACCATTTGATTATGAGAGATGCCGTCGTGGAGGGCTCCGGAAATTTTGACCACCTGGGGTTCTTTAATGTGCACCCAAATCCGAGTACACGGGCCTACAACATTTCCGCCTCCATCGGAAATGCAGCCGCCGCAGCCGGGAATCGAACCCGCGACCTGCGGGTCAGCAGCCGAGTACCTTAGCCACTAGACCACCACGGCGGGGCGACGGCAGCGTAGGTTAGCGGCATAGAGACAAATGGCGATGAAGGAAGTGCCTGCGTGACCTGTGTATCAATGACCTGGCGTAGACGAGGGTCTAACGAGGTCACTGGCTAGGATGCTTCGGCCACAAGAGAAAGTTGACGCGCAACTTCTTCTTGAATGAATTGTTTGATGTGGGGCAGTAAGACGGTGTGATCAGCAGCGACCTCGTGCACGAGGACGGAAACTTCAGCTGTATCTTCAGCGGCCCTACGCGTTGAGACACACTGCTTACTCAACTCCTGACAGAGCTGGACAACGTCTGTGACAGTCTTTGGGTTCCGAGTGACGAGCATCTGGAAGGTATCATCGTCAACTCCTTTGATTATGTGCTTAATTTTCTAGTGTTCGGTAAGAGATTGATCGACCCACTTGCAAAGAGCCAAGACATCTTCAATACATCTTGTAAAGGTCTCGTCCCTGCGCTGGACTCGACTACGCAGACGCTGTTCCGCGCGAAGCTGGCGCATGGCGGGACGACTGAACACCACGACGATGGTGGTCTTGAAGGCGGGCCAGTTGGCGATTTCGCTTTCGTGGTTCTTTAACCAGAGGCTGGCCACATCAGCGAGGTGAAAGCGCACGTTCGTGAGCTGGTCGCAGGCATTCTATTTGTTGGAAGCGCTTACAATTTCGTACTCGACGAACCAGTCCTCGACGTCTTGTTTGTCGTTGCCACGAAAAATTGGTGGGTCGCATTGCCGAGGCATGCCAGTAGAGTAGACTGTCGGCGGTGGGGCAGCTTGAGAAGGGCCAGGAGCAGTCATGGTGAACAGTGAGGGTAGCATCCGATTGTGAAGTTCCAGGTTGATGGGAAGCCCGGCTCCTCCACCACTTAAAATAGAGGTGCTGTATGTCGAGGAAGCTTCAGACGCAGCTTGGCGAAAGGTGCTTTAAGAGGCAGGTATGGCTACCGGCGTGCGGCGTGCGTGAGCTACTACTACTGCCACCGATCATCATCGTCTTCTTCAGTAGCAACAGAGCATCCGTTATTCAGATTCATTACGATATATATATATATATATATATATATATATATATATGTGTGTGTGTGTGTGTGTGTTTGTGTGTGTTTGTGTGTGTGTATGTATTGTGACGACGCGGGATCGACGAGTGCACAAAGTGCCTCAAACAAATAGGCTTTATCGATCGCAGGAAAAAGACTTCAACGACTTCTTCGTCTTTTGCACTCGGTCAAGGACACTCGTGCTGCTTCGTATTCGCCCCCACTGGCACATACGTGCCGCATTATTCCCCCTTTAAGTAAACAAAACATTGCCCCGATGTTAAACCTTCGACAACCAAGGCAAAACCAAACTGCACAGTTAGTCACTGAAAATAAGGTTTCATTCGAAGCACGTGGACAACTTCTGGTGAATGTCTGTGGCACTTCTAAAACAGCGCGCCGTCCGGAACAACCTCGTAGTTGACGTCACTGATGCGTCGCAGAACCTTGTAGGGTCCGAAGTATCTTCGCAACAGCTTTTCGAAGAGCCCACGCTGATGAATAGGTGTCCAGACCCATACTTTGTCATCCACTTTGTATATGACGAGTCTGTGCCGGAGGTTGTAATGTTTGGCATCGTCGTCTTGTTGTTTGATGATTCGCAACCTGGCAAGTTGTCTGGCTTCTTCTGCTAGCTGGGTAAACTCTTCAGCGTCCGTCTCATCGCCATCATTTTCATGAGGGAGCATTGCATCTAACGCTGTAACCTCGCTTCCGTAAAGGAGACTGAAGGGTTTCCACTGAGCGGTCTCCTGACGAGCCGTGTTGTACGTGAACATGACGTAGGGCAAAATGACGTCCCAGTTCTTGTGCTCTACATCTACGTACATGCTTATCATGTCAGCCAGGTTCTTGTTGAGGTGTTCAGTGAGCCTATTGGTCTGGGGATGATATGCCGTTGTCTTTCTGCGAGCTGTACCACTTAGTCGGAAAATGGTGTCCAAAAGTTCAGCCATGAACGCAGTACCTCTGTCAATCATGACTATTGCAGGAAGCACCGTGTCTTAAGACGATGGCTTCAATGAAAAATGGTGCCGCTTCAGCTGTCATTCCCCGTGGCAGAGTGCCTGTCTCCGCGTATCGGGTCATGTAATTCGTGGTGACTATTATCCACCTGTTTCCAGTGGCAGGCCTTGGGAAGGGGCCCAGAAAATTCATGCCAATTTGTGCAAATGGTGTCGCCGGCACTCGGATAGGCTACAGCAGGCCAGCTGGTTTGATGGATGGTGACTTTCGACGCTAGCAATTTAGACATGCCTGCGCGTAAGTTTCGACAACTTCTGAAAGTCTTGGCCAGTAATAGTTCTGCCTTATCCTCGCCAATGTTCTTGCGTAACCCACGTGACCAGCGGTAGGTTCGTCGTGGCAGGCTTACAGTACCTCACGGTGAAGCGAAGAAGAAACGACGAGCAAGTAGCTGCTGCCGGCAAGTGAAAAGTTTCTCTAATAAAGAACGTCATTTCGCAAGCAGTACGACGAATGCTCTCTCGCAAATAACTTCAGCACGCTATTTGTTCGCCCTTGTAGGTAATTTATGAGTGGTAGCAGTTCAACATCGTCACGCTGCTGTTGAGAAAAGGTGGCAGTGTGCATAATTTCCAGAAAGGCTGTGTCGTCATCGTCGTTGTCCGGAGATGCCGTCTGAACAGCAGACAGAGAAAGACAGTCGGTGCCGGTGTGTCGTTTTCTCAACTTGTAGGCAACAGTGAAGTTAAATTCTTGGAGCCGAAGACTCCATCATGCAAGACGGCCAGACGGATCTTTCAAGTTGACTAACAAACAGAGAGAATGGTGATCGCTGATAACGGTGAATGGGCGGCCGTACAAATAAAGACAAAGCTTCAGGACTGCCCATACCGTTGCAAGACATTCTTTCTCCGTCGTAGTGTACTTAGCTTCCACTCGGGACAGCGTCCTGCTGGCGTAGGCGATCACCTTTTCGTTATTGTCCTTCGACTATAGGAGCACTGCTCCAAGACCCAAATTTTAGCGTCTGTATGAAGTGTAGTTGGCACGTCTTTATCGAAGTGGGCCAGCACAGGGGGTGTTAGCATGTGCTAACGAAGCTCATGAAATGCCTGCTGTTTGTCTTCGCTGCATATGAAGGGGGTATCTTCCATAGTAAGCTGTGTCAATGGCCACGTGATGCGCAAAAAATTAGCAATAAAGCGCCAGCAATAGGCACCAAGTCCCAAAAAACGTTGCATTGATTTTTGTCTGTTGGGGTCGGGAAGTTCGCCAAGGCGGCAATTTTATCCGGGTCAGGTCAGATCCCTTGGCTGCTCACGACGTGACCGAGGAATTGAAGTTTGTGGAAGCCGAAGTGGCACTTTTCAGGATTTAGAATAAGACCGGCCAAGCATATTGCTTCAAAAACTCCTTCGAGCCTTCATAAGTGTTCCTCGAAAGTCGCCAAAAAGACTATCACGTCGTCGAGGTACATCAAGCAGGTTTGCCACTTAAGTCCCGACAGAACCATGTCCATGAGACCCTGGAATGTTGCTGGCGCCGAACACAAACCAAAAGGAAGTACCTGAAATTCATAAAGTCTATCGGGCGTAACAAAGGCGGTCTTCTCACAATCTCTCTCATCCACTTCAATTTGCCAGTAGCCACTTTTCAAGTCCATGGACGAAAAGTAGCGTGCGTTTCGTAGTCTATCCAATAAATCATCAATACACGGCAGAGAGTAGACATCCTTCTTTGTGATCTGATTGAGCTTCCGGTAGTCGACGCAGAAACGTAAGCTGCCATCCTTCTTTTTTACGAGTACTACAGGTGATGCCCAAGGACTGTTAGATGGCCGAATAAAACCATCTTCCAGCATCGTTTTCACCTGTTGTTGAATTGCCTCACGGTCCTTTGGGGGGACTCGATAAGGATTTTGCCGGATGGGTCTGGAGTTGAAATCCGTGATGATGCGGTGTTTCGTCAGTGCCATTTGACCAACTCTTGATGTAAATGAGAAGCAGCCATGAAACTTTTTGATCAGCGTGAGAAGGCGGTCTCGCTCAATGAGAGATAACGTTGGACCAACGTCGACAGATGTCGGTGTAGCGATAGTAGACGCTGCTGCTTCCTCCACTAAATGACAATCTTTTATTTGAGCGAGTTCGCCAAAATAGGCAATAGTCGTGCATTTCACTATGTGTCGACGTTCTCTGCTGAAATTTGTCAATAAGAGTTCCGCACATCCATCAATAACAGTGATGACAGCCCTGGCAATAGAAATGCCACTAGTGAATGCGAGCTTCTTGATGTGTTCAGCGATGCCAGTACCATTTTCTAAGATGTCACAGTGCATGGATACGAGGGAACAACTTCGTGGCGGCTGTATGACGTCGTCATCGGCAATACGGAAGCGAAGTGGCTGGTGTCCCTCAAATGTAGCAGTCTCTGAGCTTATAGCAAACGTTACGCTTCTGTCATGAATGTCAATCACAGCCGCTGTATTCGCGCGAGAAATCCATTCCCAATATGAGCTGTTTACAGCACTCATGAAGAATGACGAGGGGTAGCGACAAAGGTGGAACTCGTGATGAAGAGTGATGCCACGACATACAGAGCTCAAAATGACCATTTGCCTGCCGGGTCCTAACTTCAAATGAAAGAGGTGCAGCGCCCCCCCAAAAAATTATCTAGGCCCCTGGATCCTGAGACGGCACATACCTATAATGTCTCTGGCACGAGTGGGGTTAGCGTAAGGGTACAAAATTTCGTTGAGCCTTGGGTCCCTCTGCTCCTTATTCAGAAAGTCCACCAGCTGGTCCACTGTCATTGCCTTCTTTTTGGAGCTACCGCAAAGCTGGTCGAAGATGAGGTCCACCTGGCAAAGATACAAAGGTGTGGTTAGGTGAATGCATCATTTTTTCGGGCATAATTTATAAGCTAAATCTATACAACCGCATCACTACAAAAGACGAGCTAACTGTTCACAAGATATGTGCAACAAGTGAAGGCAGTAATTGCCCCGTAGTATCCTATTTTATCATTTCCAAGGGACCATGTTTAAATGCTTACAGCTGCGTTTCACTACAGCCAACGCCTCCTAGAACATATTCAAAAAGCATTGCTACAGCAGCACTTGCTTTCTCAGGCCCTGCAAATGTTCAACTTCGCAGCAAGATTTCTAACTTCTATGCCACTCCCAAAGCACCGCAAAACATAATCATAGACAACATGAAAATATTGGTGTTTATATTATTTCACAACATCAATAAAATAACAGGAACATTTGCTCTTTCTAACTGTATTTGATAAGGAATACAAGCCAAATTCTGGATCTGGGGCAGCTTTCGGATCAGGAAAACAGCTTGGAGCAAATTAGCAGCCGAAACAAGTGTGCCTGAATCAGCTTCGGAGAAGAAAAAAAGCTGCCCGCATCTTCCCACTGGGGGGAACTTGAGTAAATGCGTCGTAGAGTGGTGACGGTATCGCGTGAATGTTGCGTAATTGGGTATGGTTTGAGAATGCTTAACTGCTTTTTCATATTTATTATATTTATTATTTATTGAAACAAGAAAAAGCATTGCCTTCAACAAGTTGAACAGTTGTGCAGCGTGCACAGCCGGTTTTTACTAGCAGATGCTGCCTTCGTCGATGTTGCGAGATGAGAGAGGGGGAGGTACAGTTGGCCCGAGACGCGAGCAAGCCGACACGAGACGCGAGCATGCGCAGTCGAGATGTAGATGACACCACAGAAGCTAGATTTGCGAGTAGGTGCGGCTATAAAATGCTTCGATTTAATAAATGACATTTCGTGTCCATATGTCAGCTACATTGTAGCCCATAATCCTGTTTATATGCAACCACTAAAACGCAAACAGAAAGCCATCAATAATAGTGACAGGATAGTCATCAGTCAGGCTATTTGAATCAATGTCACGAGTGGACTTCACAAAAACACAGACGTCACCTGTTATCGTCACCATCTGTTTATTTGTCACCAGCTTTGGCTATGTACAGATAAACTGAATAGCAGAAAAACTTTGAACCATCTCACTGAAGGGAATTCTAATGGCGTGCGAAGCAGCAGTGGTGTGCACGGCGTTCACTCGGTTGAAACGGGCGTGGATGTGGGTCCTGAAGCTTGACGCGAGTGCTGAACAGTTTAAAGCGAAACTTGGTATAGCGCTTACTCGAGTAAATATTTGTTTGAAACGCAAAGTCACGGGATGGGGGACGCAATGAAGACGCTTGTGCTCGGCTTCCTTCGCTCGCGTCTCGTCGGTGTTATCCGCTCGCCGTCTGTATTCTTGAACGCGATCAGTGTTCTTGACTCGCACCTCGTCAGTGTCGCTGGCCTTTCACTGCCAACGCTTGCATTTGGCTTCCCTGGCTCGTGCCTCATCAGTGTTGACATCGTCATTCGCGAACGCGATCGGCTTCGCTAACCTTTTCGACGCCGGTGACAGCCGGGAAAGGTACGAGAACACTAGTGGGAAGCATGCCACGACAACATCCCGCCCATCAACGCGATCGCGCGGTAAGCAGCGGCGCACTATCTAGATGATCGTCGCCGCGAGATTCTCGAAGCACGTGCAGCACGCGCACCTGCCGGCTCGCATATTCTCCTTGCCGACAGATGGAGAGATGTGGCGCGGGTGAGATGATGTTCACGTGAGGAGCGGGCTCGAGCATTGTGAGAAGTAGCGTGGGTGAACCGAGAGAGAGCCGACACGCGGCAAGCGCACGGCAGGCGAGGAAGAGAGACGCCACCGCGCACTACTAGGAGGACGTGAGCTACTTGGCACCGCGCCAACACCTGCGGCGAGGGGAGAGGTGCGGACTGAGGGACAGCGTAACACAAGTTTGTCAAAGAGCTGCTTCGAATCTAAAAAAATTTTGGCATCGTCTTGGCCGAGTTGGTCATGTGGCTATATTTGGGCTACTAAAAATCAAATACTTCGCTTTATTGGGGCTGTAAGGCATACCACTGTAATTAACGCTCCAGAGGTGACTGTCATCAAGTGGACCCAAATCTCTAAACAGGCATTTACATTTATCCCTGAAGACCCCCGAAATGTCAAAATTCACCAGACGACTGCACAATTCATCGCCTCAGAGACCAGAAAAGCACGCAACGAGCACCAGCGGTCTGTGTTCGTCTTCATCCGACGGACTGCATAACGCCTTTGCGCATCTCTGGAAGCTGTAGTTTGGCTGTATTGGCATGTGAACCACGCGATTTCAGGCCACAGTTCAAGACTAGAAACAAGGAGTTGGATGTGGATTTGTATTCACATACAAGCAAGTTTTCCTAATTCGGAACCTTCTGCAATTTCACAGATTGCGTAGCGACCTAATCTCGTCTTTAATGAGATTGCAGGCGCAACGCCTGTAGTGTTTCATATGCTGTCGAACCTAGACAAGTTCGAGAGCATACCCTGAAAAGAATGATGAGTCATGCACCTGGACGCACTCATGAATATTGGGCTGATGCCTTTCAACCAATATTACATTTCTGCGCCTGTGCTGACCGCTCGTGCTTCGCGTGACATCTGCATTACTTGCAGCATCTTTAGTCAAAAGCTTCTCTATCTGCAGTTTATATCCACAGCAATGGGCTAGTTGTTATGGGGCTTGACTGCGGAGTGAAGGCCGCACGATTGAATCTTGGTCACGGCAACCCAATTTCCATGAAGGCGAAATGCTACTGAGTGCTGCGTGAAGAACCCGAGGCAGTCGTGATTTACGTCTCCCTCCAGCATGGCATCTTGCACAACCACCTCGTCGTTTCACGACGTGAAACCATGGCTTTTTTCACTATCTGCTATTTTCACTACTCTATCCTTCACCGCCACAACAATACAACGCATAAATTGAAAGTAAAAACATCTGTTACATTAACCAATCTTAGACATCAATAAAAAGTGGCCTAGCCAGGTGATAGCATACAGACCAATGCCCCCTCCCCTCAAATATTTTACAGCGAAAGCTGTATAGGGCTAGAAGAAATGAAAAACCACTCGGTATCAGTGTCACTGAGCAGTTTTCATTGGCTTAGCTATCAGTTACGTCTTTCTCAACGTCGTACCCAAGCACACGCGCCATTAGATAAGTTGTGAATGACGTCGTACATGCCGTTGTAGAGCTGGTGTTGAGCATGCGCACATCAGTTTTTACAAAAACCGTTCCCCGTGGATAGACCATGGACAACTCTAGAGAGCCAACAGCAGAAACATCAGAGAGATAGCATTCGACAGGCCCGAGAAACTGAATGGCAGCAGTAACTGCTTACCCACAATCCGGTAGCCTAACAAGCCCGCTAAATCGCGAACAGAAATGCAAGCGCCGGTAGCGGGCAATCCTGCAGACCACACCGCCGAGTTAGTTCACCATGTGAAATGCTTGCAACAACGCTTCATTGCGAGCACAACAGCGTCAACATGATGATTGCAGGAGCTCGTTTGCCAAAGAGAACGAACCTTCCAGCGGTAATTAACCTTCGGCTGTGACGTCTGCGACAGCATTTGGTTCAACAAAAACCACTATTATTAACGCATTGCAAAAAGCGTTTCGCCGCTCAATACACTGCTCGATGACCATGATCATACGAGGAACATGGTGCACCAAGTGAACCGAACACAGAGGCAACCCCAAGCCAAACATGTGTCAAACCACATTAAGATGCACGAACATGTAACCAATTATTGCGAAAGGCTTCAGTGCAGCGTCTGGTTGAGTCCACTGCTGAACACCGGGGCCACAGGTTTCAGCTTTCACTAGTTAATCATTTGAATAGAGTGCTTGGGCCGTGAATTTTTTGGAGGGTGTAAAGAACGAAAAATTGCATTTTAAAAGGTATCCCCCTCAAAAAATTCTGCCTACACCTATGTCGATAAGTGGCCATTTTTGTTCTTTGGTGGTGCTAAACTGAATTCGTTGTACCAATTGAATATTCACAGGGAGGGCGGTAAAGGGTGGCATCTATGAATATAAAAGCTGTCAAAAAGTATTTCTTGGCTTTGTTTAGCTTCATTTGTGAAATATTGCTCAGTTGGTAACAGGTGGTTTTATAGAACACCTTGTCTGCGAAAGTAAACTTCCAGTAGCAATAGACTGGTTGATGCGGCTTGCAGATATGTGTAGTGTATTGATTGATTTCTTTCAGTCGAAAGTTTTACCAATGGCATACAGAGTTAAAGTTAGTTGATTTGCTTAATATCTGCCTGAATATTTATGCTTTCATGTTCCCAAACGCTAACGACGAGGCTTATGTACTTAGATATAGGTGCAGAACTGCAGATGGTAAATATTTCCGGAGTATTCTTCCGGGATGTCTCTCAAAATCATATCCTGGTTTCTGGGCGCATTAAAAAGACACAGTAATGACAAATCCTACAAAATTATATTGCAATAGTCAAAAGTGAAAATGTAACTGTAAATAAAACTACAAATTGGAATGGCTATATTTCGCTACAAATAATTTCTGCTATTTTTGTATTTGGCTGCATTCGGGCTACAGTTGCTCTAGTGTTTGGCCAAGCCGCCTCGTTCGACCTGGCAATACTGGTAATACACAAATGATAGGGCCCGCATAAGATAGTTTTTGCGAGGGACACGCGTCGAAACGTCATTCCTTCCTGAAATTCGAAAGGGAAAGGGGTGACCACCTCAAGAGAACCCAAGCTAATAATTCAGCCAAAGAGTTTTGCATTGCATTTTTTATTTAACATAGCTCCTGCAAGTGCATCTGCACTTCTGTAGTTTGGAGCAGTGAAAAACTCAAACTCGGGTTTTTGTGTTCTGGGTTTCGGTTTCGGATTGACATGTGAGGATGTTAGGGGGCGACGCTCTGGCATCTAGGATTTCAAGGCGACTGTAAAATAAAGACAGTGTGTGTTAGGTAACCGTGGAGTGCGGTTGTTGTGCTTTCTTTCGGCGCTTCGCGCCAACCCGCGTGTTCGGGCTGGTTGGTGTCCCCGCCGGCCGCGTACATCTCCGTCGGCCGTATTCTTCTTCTTCTGCTTCGTCGGGACCAGCCAGCCCCCAACACAGCACGGGTGGCAGCAGCACTCTAGATTTTTGACCGCTCTATCTGTGGACACATGGTGGCTATGCTGAGTACGTTCACTATGTAACAATTGCATGGCTGAAAATGAATTGGGAAGTTTTGCGGGCGACTTGTTTAGCATTTCCCCCCAATTTACAGTGATACTGATGTTTATAACATATACTTGAGCGCAAGGATTTGTTGCGATGTGCTCACGGGATCAAAGCTTTGTAAATTGTGCTCTTCAATCAAAGAGCATGAACCGGTTTGATAATTACTAAAAGGGTTTTCTTGAACAGTAGCGATAATCAGCACCAATCTAGAGTCGAGACTTAAAAGGAAGCAGCTATGTAGCTTAGAAGGCTGTATGGCCATTTACTATCCTGTCTCACCACTACAGTTCAGTACTGTCACAACTAAGAGGTGTAAACAAGCCATACGCTTGTGCAGATAAACATTGTTCTAGATATTGCCTATTGATCCAAACTTTATTTTTCAATCTTTGTTTATAGTTCCAGCCTTGCCTATAGCCTCAAGCTTGCCTATTGCCTTGCAATAGGTAAGCTTGAGATATTTGCTCTTCTTTAGCATCTGCTACTGCACGTTAATAACTAATATGTTTCCTCATCCCATTTACATCGTATTTCTGTTTTGTTGCATCACCAACCATTAATAAGTGTGGTTAAAAATCAACATGGCAACGCCCATGCAGAATTGACCGCCCGCTTTGATCCGAACTTGTGCTTGGTGCTCGCCCAGAGCGCACACACAAACAAATGAATTATGTAATTAGCTATTGCTTTTTGACAACTCACAATCACACAAACAAATGAATGATGTAATTAGCCATTGCTTTTTAACAACTCACAATCAAGATAAAATATCAGGTAGGCCCTTATGTTAATGTCGAGATGAGCTGTTTCTTTAACTAGACTTGCCAAGATTAATGTGCGAAGGATTCGATAGCGGTTCATGGAAATAGCACAGTGTAGTCATAAAATGCTATGCTTCCAAAATCCCAAAACATAAATTTAAAGCAAATACAAGAGCCAGTCTGGAACTTACGGCCCACAGAGCGCACGTTGCTGACGTGATTAACTCGAAGTGCAGGGCACCAGGGTCGATGATGCTGCTACAGTCTTTTTTTTTTTTTTTCGGCGCTGCCATCTGCTCGCCCAACATATCCATGCATATGCCAAGGGAACACTTAGCAGACGACACTACACGGGTGAATGCCTGTGCAGGCAATAATCGCCCTTCAAATCATCTAAATAACTGCTTTGTAGCATCTATAGAGCTGAAGAAAACTTTCAGATAGGTGCGTTGTCAAAGTCCTCAGCTACGTACCTCTTGACGTCCCACCAAGTGCCGGTAGAAGCGCAGGAAGACATCGAGGCTTAGACGCTCGGGCGCCAGAGTGTCGTTCTTGCCGGCAGCCAGCCCGACAGCTTCGAGTGCACGCTCAACACGCTTACGGTCGTCACGGTGCTGGGCAAACATGCGCAGCACGCTCTTGACGGGCAGGCGACCCTCACGGTCGGTGCACAAGAGCAATTTGGTGTGTGCCTTCTGCAGGAAGGTGGCGGCTGGCGCGTTTAGGGAAAGCAGGTTGTACGCCATGCTGAGGAGTTCGTCACACCACAGCTGCGCCACTTCGCGGCTCGTTCCACAGAAGCTGATGGCGCTCACATTCACCAAGTCGGGTCCATACAGCACAGTCACTGTCTTCTCCTCCAGAGGCACGTCCGGTGCACCCATGGACACAGAGTCACGCAGCTTGCCCTCCTGCGCAAATTGTTGTCAAGCATATTTTTTTTAGTTATTAAACTGCATCAGTTCATTATTGTATACCGGGTTCTATATATGTTCAGCCGCATGCTATAAAAGTAAAAAGAGGTATTGATGATCTGGTATGTGGCTCAACCAGGCGGCACAAAATATATGTCTACAAACTAGACAGAACCCACCCAATGCAAAATATTTTAAAATGCAAATGCAAACTTCACAAGGAAACACAAATTTAAGTCTTGCATATATACACTGAATATTATGATCTTGAAGAAAGCTGAAGAATATAAATATCAGGGTATATTTATAATGTCTGATTTAAGGTGGAATAGACACATTTAGCACATTAAGAATAAAGCAATAGGCGCACTGGGTTTTCTTCGCTGTAAGTTCAGTCAGTTACCACAGAAATTGAAAGAGCAACTGTATTTCACGTACGTTCGCAGCATACTTGATTATGGTTGTTTGTTGGGACCCACACAAAGTTGATCTCACGGAGCAGCTTGAAAGGGTGCAAAATAATGCAGTTTGGTGTGTATTTAACCGTTACAGAACAATAAGTATGACGGAAAGCAAACGTAAGTAATCTCGGCAGGTTTTGCAAGATAAGCGGGAAAACCTCATACTGCAATTTTTCATGCTGTATATCATTTTAAAACTGCCATTGAGCGAGCAAAGTATATCAAGTTACCACTTGCATCTCATCAAGACAGGGACCATGCAATGAAAGTTTGCGAATTCTCTTTTAAGGGGGACATGTTCAGGTATTCTTTTTTTCCATGAGCCATTAGAGAATGGGATGCCCTATCACCTGATGTTGTTAAAGTTTTGGATAACGGTGTATTTTTCCGCTGTTTGTGTTTTCTTTGTATATTTTTGTATGTAGCCCCCATGCTGTAACACCCAATGGGGTGATGCAGGTATGTAATAAATAAAAAAAATTAATACATTACGGGAAGGTGAAAGGATGACGAAGGTATATGACTGGTAGAAACATAATAAACTCAACCTCATCACAGCGAAGTTGAAGGGGAGCAACAATTATTTGGTTATATCTATATAACTGTTTGTGGCAATGCTCAGATGGGCGCACAGTTCTAAGCATGCAAAGAAAGAAACTGCCTTGCAGCCCGATGTACCACTACGAGACCACGCGTGCCACGAAAAATAAACTCAGTCGAATCTCTATAATTCGAGCTTTCGGGTGATTCGAACTCAGCATGAGGTCCCGTCAAAGCTATGTGTAATCCAATGGGCCAAAACGCCCTGTAATTTGAACGCGCGAGCACTTGCGACGGTTAATTCAAACATACTGCGCTCCGAAAATGTTCTCAGCACTCTACCCCATCCCGCAGCGGCACCTCTCAACGCTGAGCACGAAGAAGAAAAAGAAAAGGAAAGAAAAGACTGTGGCGGATTGTTTGCTCTCTCAAATGCCAATCTGTGACGCGCCTGTTCCACGCTTTTCCCTTTTTCGTCTCTGCACGTAGAGACCCTTCTCCTTTCAAGGCCGGGCGTGCAGGGAGAGGGAAAAAAAGAAAGCTGTTGCGGAAAGTCCTTTCTCGATGCAGAGGAAGCAGCCAGGATAGCAGCGGACACACAGTCGTTGCCGTCTTGAGAGGGAAATCACTTTGCACCGTGGCGGCGCTTCTCGGTCATGTGATTCACTGAATGCTTCTTCAATCCTCTCCGCTGGCTATGCAAGGAGCACTGCTCTCTCGGCTGCGCGGGGCGTGGCTGTAAGGTTGGTGCGGGAGTTTCGAAAGAGCCGAGCCGAACCAGCATCAAACTCCGCAAAAAAAGTTATACTTAACACACTACGGTCGTTTTTTTTTTTTGATAGACTATTGTCACGTGATCACAGAACGACCACAACGTCTGTTCACAGGAGCAGCACTGGACGTCGAGCCAAACCGAACGTTAGAGCACGAGCACACACCAACCGTCCTCTTCTTCTTTCACACCATGGCACATACTCGCATTGGCATGGCTAAACCTCGTTCCATGCCTGTGGCATTACCCCCCTCCTTCGAAAAAAAAGTACCACCCCGATGACCAATGCAAATTAAAAGTTTAAGTAGTCCCGTACACGCACAAAGACGCGTGAAGAAGCAGTGTCAGGTGGCTCGGGGGTAGTGTGGCTTCATCCGTAACACATGAACAATGTCGGGCTGCTGGGAACATCGAGATCGCTGAGCTGTGTCTTCAAGCAGAATTTCGTTGCTGACATCTGTGAGGCGCCGTAGTACTCTATAGGGACCGAAGTAGCGGTGAAGTAACTTTTCTGAGTGGCCCCTTTTGCGAACGGGGATCCACAGCCAGACCAGATCACCGGGTTGGTAAATGACATGGCGATGACGGGAGTTGTACCTCTGCGAGTCGATTCGTTGTTGTTTTCGGATCCGCTTGAGTGCAAGCTGGCGGGCCGCGTCGGCGAGCCGGAGAAAGTCGTTCGCATCAGTAGTAATATCGGTCGTGTCAGGCAACAGCATGGCATCAAGCATCGTAATTCCTTCCCGGCCGTGAAGCAGCCGGAATGGAGTGAAACCCGTAGTCTCTTGAACCGCAAAGTTGTAAGCGAACGTTACATATGGCAAAATTGCATCCCAGTTTTTGTGATTGCGGTCGACGTACATAGATAGCATGTCAACGAGCGTCTTGTTTAATCTCTCCGTCAGACCGTTGGTTTGTGGATGGTATGCGGTTGTTTTGCGATGAGCTGTTCCACTAAGTCTTGTGACGTCTTGCATCAATTGGGCTGTAAAGGCTGTTCCACGGTCAGTGATAAGAACTGTTGGCGCTCCATGGCGGAGGACGATGTTGTTGATAAAAAAATACGCAACCTCATTGGCGGTGCCTCGTTCTAGGGCTTTCGTTTCGCAGTACCTTGTTAAATAGTCAGTAGCGACTACGATCCAGCGGTTGCCATCATGTGACTTCGGGAAGGGCCCAAGCAAGTCCACGCCGATTCGTTCAAACGGTTGTGACGGGGGTGCAACAGGCAGGGCGCACAGGTGGGGCTTTACGGCGCTGGCAATGACTGCATGTTTTAACGTAATGCTTGACATCCTGGGTGAGCTTTGGCCAGTAGTAGCGAGTCCGAATCCGGGCAAGGGTACGTGCGAATCCTAGGTGGCCGGAGGAAGGCTCGTCGTGGCAGGCAGATAAAATGTCAGCACGTAGCCCTGGTGGAACGACGAGGAGGTACTCAGTCGCATAAGGTGCGAAGTTCTTTTTGTAGACAATGTCCTTGCGGAGACAAAATGACCCTGAACGTGCAAATGCCGATGGTGGACTCGAGCTGCGACCTTGAAGGTATTTGATAAGTTGTTGGATCTCTGAATCATTCCACTGTTGTTGGGCCAAGTCAGATTCACTGACTGCACAAAGAAAATGGCCATCGGTATCATCGTTCCCCGATGTCGTCGCGAGGGGTGCGCGCGAAAGGCAATCAGCATCAGTATGCCTGCGGCCCGACTTGTAGACGACTGTAACCTCAAATTCTTGAAGCCGTAAGCTCCATCTCGCGAGGCGCCCTGAAGGGTCCTTGAGATTGGCCAGCCAACAGAGGGCATGATGGTCCGTAACTACTCTGAATGGACGGCCATACAGATACGGTCGGAACTTTGTTATCGCCCAAATAACAGCAAGACATTCCTTCTCCGTGGTCGAGTAGTTAGTTTCTGCAGATGACAAAATGCGGCTAGCATAAGCGATGGGGCGTTCAGCCCCGTCTTGCCACTGGACGAGTACTGCACCAAGACCGATGTTGCTTGCGTCAGTGTGAAGTTCGGTGGTGGCATCTTCATCAAAGTGCCCTAGTAAGGGTTCACTCTGAAGGCACTGCTGAAGCTGGGAAAAAGCAGCTCTCTGCTCTGGACCCCACACAAAAGGAGTATCCTCCTTCGTTAAACGGGTAAGGGGTTCAGCGATGTTGGCAAAGCTCTGGACAAAGCGCCTGTAGTAGGGTAGGCGCAGAGACCCAAAAACCGGCGCAAATCCCGTTTGTTCGAAGGTGGAGGAAATGCAGCAACAGCCATGGTCTTTTCTGGGTCTGGTCTAATGCCATCGTGACTGATAAGGTGGCCGAGGAACTTTAGTTCTTCGTAGCCAAAATGACACTTTTCCGGTTTTAGAGATAGGCCTGCGGATCGAATAGCGACGAAGACGGACTGAAGTCGTTGTAAATGTTGCTCAAATGTTTTGGAAAAAACAACGACCTCGTCTAAATACACGAGGCAGGATTCCCACCTCAGACCGGACAGGACGGTGTCCATCATCCTTTGGAACGTTGCCGGTGCAGAGCACAATCCAAATGGTAACACTTTGAATTCGTAGAGGCCATCGGGAGTTATGAATGCTGTTTTTTCCCTGTCACGTTCATCGACCTCGATCTGCCAGTAGCCGCTGCGTAAATCCATTGAGGAAAAATATCGGGCATGTCGAAGTCGATCCAGTGAGTCATCTATGCGTGGGAGAGGGTAGACGTCTCTCTTCGTCACTTTGTTGAGCTTCCGGTAATCGACGCAAAATCGAAAAGTGCCGACTTTCTTTTTAACAAGTACGACGGGTGACGCCCATGGACTGTTCGAGGGTTGGATGACGTCGTCGTCGAGCATCTGTTTCACTTGAAAACGTATTGCCTCTTGTTCTTTCTGCGACACGCGGTAGGCGTGCTGTCGTACAGGCCGTTCGGTAGGGTCCGTTATAATGCGGTGCTTCACGGTTGGGGTCTGCTTGATTTTGGAGGTGGACGCAAAGCAATCACTATACGTACGTAAAATCATGCGTATCTGCTGTTGCTGCGCACAGGATAGCTGGCAATTCACGTCAACTGTACTGGCTATATCAGTGTTACCTTCGGCAGCAGTGGCAATCGGAGCGATAGTGGAACATTCTGCGTCATCGATGGCTTCAAAGTTCGCGATTGCTGTTAGCTTTGCCAAGTGTTGGTACTGGCCGCCGAAATTCGTGATCAGAAGCTGAGTCCTCCGATG